TTTTGTTGATACAAAAACTGAGAAAGTGCTAGACTGGCACTAGGTAGATTCCCCTCTTCCCTCCCCAGTGTCTTCCCTTTGAGCACCTGATTGAAGATGAATAAGATCTGAAATGTTCAGAGTGGGCCAGGGTCACTCACCTATGATACAAGGCCATCATGTATCAAAAGAACTTTATTTCAGGCACCTGGGTGCAGGTGGGCTGAGGCTGTGACTGAAGGGGGAGGCAGGGTTAAGGGGGAGGCAGGGTTTTGTTACCTTCTGCTGGATGCAAACAGTTCTGCGACATAAGGGTCCGGTCCTTGGTTCCTCCCGTCGCCAGAGGTCTAGTGGTTATCTAGGCTATGCCGCACTCAAGGCTGCAAGTTTTCTGCAAGAAAACTGCTAAGCACATAAGTTTTCTCTGCCCCGTTTTATTCTCTTTAACACTTTCAAGATCAAGTTGCCTTCTGAACTGAAGTTCTTGGTCATGAGCCAAAAGAACAAACTTCTTTATAAAGTTTAGATGTTTGCAGTTGCTTGATAAGAAATATAAGTCTTCTTAAATGTTAATGAATTGAGAGTAAGGAGTGTCTGCGATCAGTAAATTCTAACAACTGAGGTTATAATATCTAATCTCAAGGTTGTGTGAATCTCATGAAAATGTCAACAAATGTTTTTGTTCCAATGTTTGTCATAGAAAAATGCGTTTGTTCAATGTAATTATAAGAAATGTTACCAATGCTCTGTTACTCATGATGGTTCTGTTCTGATTAGAGAAAGCACATTCTCACCTGGCTGGGAGTGTGCGCCCTGGGCCATGGCAGCTTGCACGGGAATGCAGTCCTTCCTCCTGTCCGAAGAACTGTCTGTCATTAATGGAGAGACTTACCACCTGGTAACTGAGATCATCTAGTCCCAGAGGCACCTGCTCTCTACAACCCTCAGCCCCTATTACCTGTAATCTGGTCCCGGGTGCCCGGAGCAATCCACCCTCTGAGACCCCTAAACCCCCAGCCCGCATGACTTGTAACCTGTAATGATTACCCCGTGCCCTCGTTCCCATGCCTGTCCTTCCTACTTTCCCCGTCATCTCTGTCCTTCTACCCGATATAAGCAGTGGCTCATGGTGGGGTGCAGAGCAGATTTCTGTGGGTGACCTGCTGCTCTCCCCTCCTGCCGCCAGACTGGAATAAACACTCCTACATGATTCCACCCCATCTCTGCTGAATTGGCTCAGGTAGTGACAGGCAGCCTGGACCCACTGGTTGTCCGGTTCCAGGTTCACATAAACAGAAGCACACTGTGTGGCCTCTGCGACTGCTCATTTCACTGAACATAGTTTCCAGGGAACATTGTCCTTTGTACGTTTCCTGCTCAGTTTCCTTTGGGGTCAGTTGGCTTCTACATCCTGAGCATCTCTGTGGGTGTGAAGGGCCCTCTATGGGAACAAGCCCCTGTCAGCAGGCATTTGTGTGCCCCTCCCCCTCCTCCATCTGCCTCTGCCCATCAGAACTGATTGACATCTCTCACTTGCTGCCACCTCAGTGGTGGGCCAGCTGTGCACACGTGTGTTTTTTTCTTTTCAGGGTGTTAAAAGAACAAGAAGGCCCATTTTTTTGTTGTTGTTTTTTGTTGTTCTATTACAATTTTTTTTTAATCTTCACCCAAGCATATATTTTCCATTGATTTCTGGAGATAGTGGAAGGGAAGGAGAGGGAAGGAAGATGGGGAGAGAGAGAGAGAGAGAGAGAGAGAGAGAGAGAGAGAAGTGGTAGAAAGACACATTGCTTGGTTGCCTCCCACACATGGAACCCACACGGGGATTGAACCAGTCACCCTTTGGCGGGTGGGCCACTGTTCTAACCATTGAATCACTTGCCCAGGCTAATTTGTTATATTTTGAATGTCCAAGGGCACTTGGTTATGATCTGCTTGGTTATTATCTGATATGAGAAGAAAACAGTATGTAATCCTTGTTTCATAAATGCGGTATCTTCTCCT